ACCTTGTTTCAAAAATATTTTGATTCTCGACTTTATTCACAAATCTTGAACCAAGTATTGTTTACTTCAGTATATCCGTTCCTAATGGACAAACTCTTAAGGCCTGAAAGATTTGAAGCTGACCCCAACAGTGACACTGCATCTAAAGAGTGGAATAACTGATTTGCAACTTTTCAAGACTTTCCGCGTATTTCTAAATTCACCAAAATGGTGGACCGCCACGGATGCGGTGATTAAAATTCACTAATACCAATGCCAAACCACAGCTTGTCAAACCCTGTTTAATTTAACTTAACACTGCTTGTTCTACCATTCCACCACAGTGCTTACACCAGCTGAATCTAGCCACACACGGTTTATGGACTCATGCTGTTTGTTTTTCATCTTTCTTCAATGAACACGATTGAAAAAAGACAGACAAATTACATCAAGTGGTGATTGGGCTAATCGGATCAGCGTTTGCGTAAAGGCCGATACGCAGACTAGGCGAATTCACGTGGCGTATCTGGCTACTGACGTCACGCAGCCTAGTCTCGCGTACAGGTACGTTTTTTATCCTAGCGCCGATCGTTGATTTATAAGTGCTCGCAACAAGCGTCTTACGATAAATTTATCATTTACGTAACATGTTCCATGTCTTCTTATTTTCATCATAAAGTTGTATTTTTTTCATTTCAGAATTCAAAATAATTTCCAATATTCTAAAAATATCCATTAAATTCAAATAACACAAGTGCCGCCATCTATCCACATTTGCGTAAAATGCTCGGTAAAATGCAAGTATCGAGAATTGATTTTTTAGTACTGCCATCTAGTGCCCGATGATCGATCTATATTTCAAAGTATGATTTCTTATTTCGCATTTGGCAGTAATTTGTATTTTTATTGAAAGAAATTATATTCATCTCACTTTTAGCAAATGGATATATTTCTGTCCTTTTCTAACTTCTGATTTTTAAATATTCATTTTTGGCTTAATGATCTAATTAATTAACAGTCTTTTATTTTTGACATAACATTAATTTAAATTATTATAATTTGTAAACAATTAAAATAGTTTTAGTGGATTTTTATCTATTTTCGTTTATTCCATGCGGTCTTTTCATTGTGTTTTCATTTTGAAGTGAATATGGTCTTTTGAGTATACTCGTTTGATTGGTTCAAAATGGTTGGAATGCAGTAAGTATAAAAAAACACAGGATCGTTTTCCTGCTAGCTTGGTTCTCTAAAACGATCTCTTCTTGAAGAACACTCTGGCCAGGCAAGTCCTCTATTTTTTAAATAATTTTGTGCTGTGAATTTCTGGATCCTCCCTCATAAATATTTCAATATTCAAATTGTCATATCTTTACTAAGTTTTTACCTGATAAATCTTATCTTATCTGTTTTTGAAATATAAATATTATATTTTAAGGTTTTTTTATCTAATTGTTGGCTTCCATTTTGTGTGAATTATTTATTGGTTAGTACCACATTTTTATTAAGAAGTAAGTCAAGAATTTTTGGGTTTTAAATAGGTACTGCTGCTCTGGCTTTCAG